GTGTTAGCCATTTTCCATCATGATAAATTCTGAATTGAAAACGCACATTTTAATTTGATGCCTGGGTTTAAGTTAAAACTGGCATTAGTGAGGCCAGTAATGAAATCCCAGACTCTCCTCAGTGAGAGCAACAATGCCAGGCACTTAGTAGGTACATGAGAAATACTCGTTGAATGAATGACCATCAGAAGTCAAGATTTCATCAAATACTGCAGAAGAGATTAGCCCTTATCTCCACTCACACTCTCAGTTCAAAATTCTAAAATGCAAACATTCCAATAATCACAAGAAAGTCCAATTCACAAGGTAGCTGATGACCAACATAACTCAATCAACCCATCAATCACAACTGTTTCCCTCTTGTACTCTACAGCTTGAAATCCTGGTTTCCAACCTGTCAAGGTCACTCACAAGCATCTTTATTTTCAGAAGGTTATTTGTTTTCAACATCTACCGTCCCCCTTGGATTTTCACTTACAGGAATTACACTCACATTATTTACTGCAAAGTAAATTACTGCATAGTCTTTCAAAGTACTTGGATGAAGTATCCACGGCAAGGGGGTCCAAAGGTCAGATGGGTTTGGGAAATGACTGGTACCCTGAACTTCCTCTTGGAGGTTTACTCCGTAAGTAATTTATTTAAGGTTCTGAGAAGCCCTGCAGTCAAGAAAGCCAATAACTGTTTAACCCACTGTTTTTCAAACTGTTAGGCCCAGGGAACCTATTTTGAATGGTGTCCACTTTCTTTTAGAAGTAATGTTCTGAGGTGATACCTTGGGACACATCGTAAAGCAGTGATCACAAACTAATGTCCTGCATGGCATTTTAAACTTGAATGACACACACACAAAGAGAGAGGACAGGGAGAAATGTCAGCACATCCTGGCAACCCAGGGCCACATTCTTACGTAACATCAATCCTGCTATCCCCTTATACGGAACAAACATTCTCTGCTTCATTAGGACTCTGGCATTCTCTTATTTATTTCCCCCCAAATCATTCCTCTCATGGTTATCACTCGCCCGGTTCCTGCCGATATTTGACTTTGGACCTCTTGTCCTGGAGAACCTCAATCACTGAGATGTCCCTACTACTCTTTAGGGAGAAAGGAATGCCAGTATTTAAATGGCAGGGGAAAAAATAGGTCAGCATAGTACGAAATCCCCCTCTTAGCTCCTAGAGGTAGTATCTTTGCTCAACTTCAAGAAAAAGGAAGGCGCCTATATCATTATCTTGGCATCCAAATCATATTTGCCCCCAATTTTTTTTTCTGCATCTGCAAAGCCATAATCCTGTTAATATAGGAATCTTGGGATGTTATACAACATTATCACTGAGGTAGTTCACATGTGCTGCCCACAAAGGGCTCATTATTTCTGAATGGGATCTTTCCTTATTTCTTATTTCAGATGTTTTTAGGCTCAAACTCCAACCACCGGAAGTTCTGAGGTAATATAATAAACTGGCCAGACGTGTGATTAAAAATGTGTCAATGAAAACAAAAAGCGATTTTTCTAAAATTTAAAATTAAACATATTTTAGTTTGTAACCTGTAACATGGGAGGGGGGCACTGGGGAAGCGCCACAGGGGCCATTTGGCACATAAGCATCACGCAACCTTCTAGCAGCAAAGGTAAACACAGAAACAAGATTTTTTTTTTTTTTAAGTTTATTGAGAGCGAGCGAGAGAGAGTGAGACCGAGAGTGAGAGCGTGCGTGCCCACACACAAGCAGGGGAGGGGCAGAGGGAGGGAGAGAGAGAATACCAAGCAGGTGCTGCTCTGTCAGCACATGGCCTTGACTCAGGGCTCAAACTGATGAACCGTGACATCAAGGACCCGAGCCGAAATCAAGAATCAAACACGAAACCAGCTGAGCCACCCAGACACCTCAGTAACAAGAATTTTTCAAAAGGAGAGCATTTCCAGGGCAAGGTAAGAGACAGCTTGTTCTCCACTTGTGTTCTCCAAATAGTATATGTTACTCATGGCATGATCTGTCCTGAAAACGGCAGATTCCGACAGGATTTGAGACATCATGTTGATAGCTCCCAAGCGTCTCTGGGAATTTGTTTTTGTTTGGCTTTTTACCCAAATGTCCCACCGTTGAATGTACTCATCTCCTTAGGCTCCAAAGTGATTTTCAGCACAGTCTCTCCTTGTACTGGAAGATTGGTTTCTACTCTAAATATTTTCCCATTTGCACCTTTCACCTTTTTAATCATGCCGGGCATCAGCATCTCATAATTCATTATCGGCCTTCGAAGGCAACTGATTATACTGCCATCAAAAAGAAAATAACCTATGGTCTGGAGGAGAAGTGAAATAACTAGGGTTGCAAAGGAGCTTCCGGTTCACATTTTCCTTCTTTGGTGTGAAGGAGTTTAAAGAAGGAATGCCATACAAACCAACCACTCAGGTCAGACCAAATATTTGGATTATTAAGTGTTGGCTGGGGTGTCTGGGAAAGAAACATTGCTGGACTTCTAGCGTGGTTTTGTTTCAGCAAAGTTTCAAATCAGTTATCCAAAGGGGCGTAATATATAATGTTAATTTCACAGCTGGCATTTTGTTGGTGACTCCTAAAAGCCAGGAACACCCTCTGTTTTCCGTGGCAAGATTTAAGCTTTGGGTCTGAAATGCCTGCTAATTACCATCATCCATTCGTTCCACAAATATTTAGTGAACATCTTCTAACGGGCCAGCTACTCTTTTAGTCACTACAGAAATGGCAGTGAACAGAGAAACTCTAGTGGTCATGGAGCTTACTTTCAGATGGTCGTCTTCTATTTTAGCGACCCTATTTTGTACTCATTTCTGTCAGTGGCACTCAAGACCTCAAACAAACATGGTCTGTTCAGTCTGGTAAATGTCAACTCAGCAGCCCAAGGCAAAGGAAGATCTCGAGTGAAAGCCATGCCAGCTATGTTTTCTTTTTTTAAAAAATTTTTTAATATTTATTTATTTTTGAGAGAGACAGAATGTGAGCAGGAGAGGGGTAGAGACACGAAGTAGGCTCCAGGGTCTGAGCTGTCAGCACAGAGCCTGACATGGGGCTCAAAGTCATGGTCTGTGAGATTATAACCTGATCTGAAGTCAGACACTTCACAGACTGAGCCCCCCAGGTGCCCCTCCACCTATGTTTTAAATGCTAAAACCCTCTGGTGCCCGCACCTCCCCAAAAGCTCAGCAGCAAAGAAATGGAGACAACAGTACCAGTGCATTAGACATGCAGGAAAGGCTCACAAAGTTCATTTTATCTCATACCAATGAAACCACTCAGACCCACAGGGACTAGAAAACAAACTGCGAGAATAGAAGTTCCCTGAGAAAAGGGCTTGACCTGATTTGTACTCACCACACAAGACCGTCATGAACAGTGAGCGAATGTAAACCACTTAGAATTGCGCCCCGCAGATACTTTTGTACTATATAAATATTAGCGACTGTTTGTACCCTTTGTGTGTTGCATATTATAACTACTAAAATTTGCATATATCTGAAACCCATTTAATAATGGAATACTGCTGGGGTGCCTGGGTGGCTCAGTCGATTAAGCATCTGAACTTCTACTCAGGCCATGATCTCATGGTTCATGGGTTCAAGCCCCACATTAGGCCCTCTGCTGTCAGCACAGAGCCTGCTTTAGATCTGCTGTCTCCCTTCGTCTCTTCCCCTCTCCCCTTCATTCTCTCTCTCAAAATGAATAAACTTAAAAAAATAATAATGTGATGGCACAAACACAGACACTCAGATCAATGGAACACAATAGAGAACGCAGAAATGGACCCACAAATGTATGGCCAACTAATCTTCGACAAAGCAGGAAAGAATATCCACTGGAATAAAGACAGTCTCTTCAGCAAGTGGTGCTGGGAAAACTGGACGGTGACATGCAGAAGAATGAACCTGGACCACTTTCTTACACCATACACAAAAATAAATTCAAAATGGATGAAGGACCTAAATGTAAGACAGGAAGCCATCAAAATGCTCGAGGAGAAAGCAGGCAAAAACCTCTTTGATCTTGGCCGCAGCAACTTCTTACTCAACATGAATCCGGAGGCAAAGGAAACAAAAGCAAACATGAACTATTAGGACCTCATCAAAATAAAAATCTGCTGCACAGCGAAGCAAACAATCAGCAAAACTAAAAGGCAACCGACAGAATGGGAGAAGATATTTGCAAACGACATATCAGATAAAGGGGTAGTATCCAAAATCTATAAAGAACTTATCAAACTCAACACCCAAAAAAACAAATGATCCAGTGAAGAAATGGGCAAAAGTCATGAATAGACGCTTCTCCAAAGAAGACATCCAGATGGCCAACCGACACATGAAAAAATGCCCAACATCATTCATCATCAGGGAGATACAAATCAAAACCGCAATGAGATACCACCTTACACCTGTCAGAATGCCTAACATTAACAACTCAGGCAGTAACAGATGTTGGCAAGGATGCGGAGAAAGAGGATCTCTTTTGCACTGCTGGTGGGAATGCAAACTAGTGCAGCCACTCTGGAAAACAGTATGGAGGTTCCTCAAAAAATGAAAAGTAGAACTACCCTAAGACCCAGCAACTGCACTGCTAGGCATTTATCCAAGGGATACAGGTGTGCTGTTTTGAAGGGGCACACGCACCCCAATGTTTATAGCAGCACTATCGACAATAGCCAAAGTATGGAAAGAGCCCAAATGGATGAATGGATAAAGATGTGGTGTGCATATGTGTATATATATATGTATACACACACACACACACACACACACACACACACACACACACACAATGGAGTATTACTTGGCAATCAAAAGGAATGAAATCTTGCCATTTGCAACTACGTGGATGGAACTGAAGGGGATTATGCTAAGTGAAATTAGTCAGAGAAAGACAATTACCATATGGCTTCACTCATATGAGGACTTTAAGACACAGAACAGATGAAAATAAGGGAAGGGAAGCAAAAATAATATATAAAAACAGGGAGGGAGGAAAAAACTTAAGAGACTCTTCAATATAGAAAACAAACAGAAGGTTACTAGAGGGGGTGTGGGAGGGGGGATGGGCTAAATGGGGAAGGGGCATCAGGGAATCTCCTCCCGAAATCACTGTTGTACTGTATGCTAGCTAATTTGGATGTAAATTAAAAAAAAATTTTTTTAAAATAAAAATGTGATACTGCTATTTCCAGGTACCTAGAGGTTTTGCGGGGCAGGGAAGGGGTCTTATATTGATCACCTCCTATAACTCAAACAGCACCTAGGACAATCTTTAATACCAATGGTTTCTAGTTAAGCGTATATTATATTAAATCAGAACTATGTCTAAGTGTATTTGATTAAGACTGCAAACAAACATCTCTTGTTGTCGCTGATACAGATTATGTCCCTGCCCCTCAAAAAAAAAAAGGGGGGGGGATAAAGTGTTAATCACTGAATGTGATCTTATTTGGAAATAGAATTACTGCGGATATAATTACCTTAAAATCATAGTGAAGTAAGAATAGGATTGTTGTCTTATAAGATGGCAGCCACGTGAGGGCAGAAAGGGAAACTGCAGGGTGATAGGAAAGGTAGAGACTCTACCCACATCGTCCCCCCCCGCCTACAGACACGTTGACTCCAGACCTCTAGCCTCTAGAACAGAAAGAGGATACATTTGTTGTTTAAGCCACCCACTTCACGTAGCTTCATTCCAGCAGCCCTAGGAAACTATGGACACAACTCTGCCTCCCAGAGTCATTCGTATCAGTCATTGGGTAGCATATGCTTCTTAAATAGACACACCAAAACACAGACTGTTCGTTTTTGGCTCAGCATTTATATATGGAATATTTGCCACTGGGATCAAAACAGACCCAGCTGTGCCAGCAATATGATGCTTCATTCATCTAACATTCCCTCCTTACACCTTTTTCCAAATATTTCAGATGTTCCTGATATCTACCAGATAAAACATTGTGACAGTGCACACACAGGGAACCTCAGGGGACCGATCTCGGGTGTCAGAGAGTAATTCCACTGAGATTTAGAATGCCCTCAGCATTTATATCCAGGCAGGGAGGCAGTGAGACATGGGGGAGATTTTTGAGGCAGACAGCTAGACTTCAGAAGCAAGATCAGCCTAGAAAGTTTCCAGAGTTCTCTCGGTGCCCGAAAAACCCTATTCAATGTAAAATCATTCCTTGCTTGGGTGGAAAGGTGCAGCATATAAATTTGGTACAATATATGCCAGTTAATTCAACAAAATGTCAACCTGTCTGGGAAAACCCTTAGAAAAGGTTTACTTTCTGTGTCACCAGGGAACTGAGTGATAGGAAGGGAAGCTCATGAAAATGAGATTTTCTCTAACTTCTGCCTACAGTGAATAAATCAATGAGATTTTTCAAGTCCCCTCAATGAGTTCATCTCATAAACAGGCAAGTATTTACAGACTCCAGGACCATCTCTCTCTAGTCTTCTTTTTTCTTCCCCTCCCAGCCCAATTTCTTTCCTTCCTCTCTACCATTTCTTTCTTTGACATTTTTCTTCTGTCCTTTGTGCTGCTGTAGGAGGGAAGATTTGTTGGACAAGCCGACGACTGCTATCTCTTACCTCTTAGCTTCTAAACGCCTCGATAAGTGTGGGGGTCTTGACTTCGTAAGGGTTTTTTTGTTTTGTTTCGTTTTGTTGTTTTTTTTTAAAAAAGAAGATGTAATCTTCCAGCCCCGAACTGGGTTTAAGGTAAGTGTGTATCTGCTTGGGGGCTGAATGCAATCTTTGGCCCTTTTCATAAAGTTTATGGCCCTGGTGCCCCTTTAAAAGTCTCATGTGGCTGATTGATAGGCTCATTTCTGATACTAACCATAAAGAATTGGCCATCCTGAAGATAAGCTGCTCCTCCCCTGAGCATTACAGAAGGTAAAGGCGGGTGCCATTATAGATGGTCCTTCTTGACTCAATCAGATTCACCCTTCAGCGGCCGGGCAGCGCTCTGCACTGAGGGACCGCACCACAAGACACAGAAGCTCAGTCAAATCCTTTTAGTTAATGGGTGTCTAAGGATTAAAACATCATCATGGGTGGGACAAAGGAAACAGTAGCGAATATTCCCATTTCCTAACAGAAGTTAGGAAATGGGAATATTCGCTAGGCGTCATTAACCAAAGGCGACGTAGGCAGACTCACAGAATCTTCATCATTTGATAATCTATGCCTTTTTATCGAACCCAAGTGATTTTGCCCCTTTACTATTTATTCCAGTTTTCATGTCAATCTATTGTGGTTCTCAAAGGAGCTTTCAAATGTCTCTTCGTGGGACAAGTGTAGTCATTAGAGATTCTTCCTTACTTCTACGTGTTCTGGGTCAAGATGGAATATAAATACTTACAAAGAGGCAAAGGAGGGGCACCTGGGTGGTGGCTCGGTCGGTTAAGCCTGCGACTTCGGCTCAGGTCATGATCTCACGGCTCCTGGGTTCAAGCCCCGCGTCGGGCTCTGGGCTGACAGCCTGGAGCCTGCTTCAGATTCTGTGTCTCCCTCTCTCTCTGCCCCTCCCCTGCTCACATTCTCTCTCTCTCTCTCTCTCTGTCAGAAATAAATAAACACGAAAAAAAATTTCTTTTATTTTTTTTAAATTTTTTTTTTCAACATTTATTTATTTTTGGGACAGAGAGAGACAGAGCATGAACGGGGGAGGGGCAGAGAGAGAGGGAGACACAGAATCGGAAACAGGCTCCAGGCTCTGAGCCATCAGCCCAGAGCCTGACGCGGGGCTCGAACTCCCGGACCGCAAGATCGTGACCTGGCTGAAGTCGGACGCTTAACCGACTGCGCCACCCAGGCGCCCCCAAAAAAATTTCTTTTAAAAGGCAAAGGATACCGAGGGACGAAGAGCAGTTGAGAGGGAGGGAGGAGTTACATACACTCACACAGAGGGCGAGGGGAGACAGGGGAAGAAGGAGATACACAGAGTGGAAGGAGAGGGATTTTATGTGTGTTGTAATTTAATTCTTAGCTGAAGATTTAATTTCTTAGAGGAACAAGAGTTCATCTGCGACCAGCCACAAACTGACATGGAGAGCTGTTGCAGAAGAACTGGTAAAACCTAGCAGCCCCTCAAATGCAGGAAAAGGAAATGGTAGAGAAAGCACAGGAGAAGCAGGTAAGGGAAAGATGATTTATTCATCAAGTATTTACTGAACACTTTCTACAGGACAGGTACAGCACTAGGACTAGGGCTATCAGAGGCAAGACAGTCAACGCACATGAGGAGCTCACATTTTAAAGAACAGAAACATCGGAACCCTACACCAAATAATTACATCAACATGTTCAAACGTGACAGGCCTTCAATGATACTGCTAACACTTTTGCGTTTACTTCTGTCTGGTTTCTGGGTAACACCTCGCCACGTAACCGCTCTCATCAGTGTCATCGAGAACATTCATGTGGCTAAACCTAATGATTATATTTCAGACCTTATTACTACTTCCTCCATCTTGAAACATTCTTTCCTTGGGCCCACCGGATACCACGTTTTCTGGTTTCCTAACTCCTTCTGTCTCTTTTCAGTCTTTTGCAAGCTCACCTCCTCTTGCCAACCATTAAACGTCTCCAAGTTTTGGACCTGTGCTTACTTCTCTTCTCTATACTCTCTCAGGGAATATAACTCAACTTCCAGTTTCAATTACCTTTAATACACCAGGAACACGCAAATGATCTCTCCAGGCAGACTTTTCTCTCTATAACCTATGTGAAATGCTTACCTCTCCCAGATGCCCATTCAAGGTTAGCCACATCCTCAGTGAGTACACATCTGTCTCTATCTGCCAGTTAAGACCTATGCATTAATTACTTGTGTGTCTTTGGTGTTTAGCACAGTATCCGGCATGTGGTAGGAGTTCACTGTTTGCTCAGCTATCAACTGGAATTAAGGCAGGGCTTGGGGGAAGGATACACAGCATCGCAGTCGGGTGCTGGGTTCCTCTGCCTTCGCACAGTGAATACACGATCGGACAGGCAAGCTAAGACAGTTAACAGAAGTTTTCAGATGTTAATCTCTTAATTATGAGAGAGATCAATGAGGACAAAGAAGTAAACATGGAATTTAATGGATAATATTTATTTTTGATATCCAAATTTTCTACTGTACATATATACATGTGTCTCTGTGTGTGTATATATAGAGACATATACATATATAGACACACACACACACACATATATATATACACACACACATATACACACTACCTTTTTTTTTTTTTAATTAAAGCTCTTTTGAGACCTGCTTTATGTATTGAGGGGGCCAGAGAAAAAGGTAAGTGTGTACACACAGAGTAGTGAAATTAAAAAGAGGAACATGAACTACTAGAAGAAATTATAGGAGTTGAGATACTAGGAGTCGAATCCATTTTTCTTTAATAAACAGCACTGCCCAAATTCTTCAGTAAATACTTGCACAAATCGCCTTTGTTTCCAAGTGACTTTTTTTTTTTTAATTTTTTTTTTCAACGTTTATTTATTTTTGGGACAGAGAGAGACAGAGCATGAACGGGGGAGGGGCAGAGAGAGAGGGAGACACAGAATCGGAAACAGGCTCCAGGCTCTGAGCCATCAGCCCAGAGCCCGACGCGGGGCTCGAACTCACGGACCGCGAGATCGTGACCTGGCTGAAGTCGGACGCTTAACCGACTGCGCCACCCAGGCGCCCCTCCAAGTGACTTTTAGGGAGAAACAGAGCCAAGAGAAATCATTTACTCAAATGAGTTGTCACTCCTGATTTTCAAGAATTAAACACAGAAAAGCATTTGTACATAATAAATTTCATAGTAACATATGCTCTCCTGAATTATAACCCAGACTACAATCTTTACTGATGAGTACTAGACGCTGACATCCTAGTCAACCAATTCAAGCCATCAGAATAAACAATCCCTTATGAAAATGAAAATTGAATTATTGCATGGGAAAAATTGAAAGCATGTTTTATCAAAGGCAATTTGTCTCTTATCTGACAGCCTTGGAAAACAGCAAGAAAATTATGTCTCTCACGTTACAATGAAAAGGCAGCAGCTCCTTTAGACATCACAGTAATAAGGGAACTTTGGGTCATTCAGGAAAAAATAAATGTTTATTCTATAGCCGGCAGTGTCCAACTTTCCCATGCTTGTGTTGGCGAAGGAGGGAGGGCACGATGCTGCACTAGTTAATGGATCGCAGATGAAAGCGGTACCATGGGGCGCCTCAGCCAGGTCACGATCTCGCGGTCCGTGAGTTCGAGCCCCGCGTCGGGCTCTGGGCTGATGGCTCAGAGCCTGGAGCCTGTTTCCGATTCTGTGTCTCCCTCTCTCTCTGCCCCTCCCCTGTTCATGCGGTACCAATGTCGCCCTCGTCAACATTCTCCCTTCAACAAATCATTTCCTTATTGTTAAAAGAGAGGGATTCTACAGAGCAATCTCCAAAGCTAAAGCGTGAAACCATGAGCTGGACCAAGTAATAGTGGCTCCTTCTTCCTCCAGGGTTAGACCACCAATGCCTTTCATCCATGAGCCAGCCTTTCCGGCACTGTTTTTCATTTGGTCGGCAGAGTTATACAGGATATTCACATCCTAGATCCCGAGATACAGTACCAAATATTACCTAACTGCCCATTTATTTGAGGGACTTACAGTTTCTGCCTACCATGATAAGGAAAGTGGCCATGAATTTCTGTTCAGGCTATGGCTGGAACAGTCACATTCATGTCTGTACCTTGGTCATGGTTGTTAAATGATGAGGAGTGTAGCAACAGAAATTGATCGGACTTTGTAGCACAGCTAGTGAAAACACCTGTATGATGCTTTCATCACTGTAACACTATCAACCCTGACAAGTGTTTCTTATACACTTCAAAGGTTCATTTAGGTTTTTCTGTAGTTTAACAGATTCCTTGAAGAGGAAAGCATTCAGCTTTCTTTTTAAATGGACCGTCTAGAGGAAAAGCTTTGTTATTAAGCCAACAATTAGTTCTTTAATGCCAGTATTTCAGAAAGCCAGTTTCTCCAAAGTAGTATCTGATATACATAGGAATTACATGCAAACCAGATGAACCTCCGATTCCTTCCAAGGGGTTTTCATAACTAAAACACTAGTAAGAACTTAACAAGAATGTAGGATTAACTCCAGCAAAGGGAAGCAAGTTAAAAATAACATGAAATTTTAGAATAGCCCTTCAAATCAAGTGTACCTAACCAATTTATTATATTCTCCAACTAAATGATCCTCATTGATCGGGACATTTGTCGGTACCCGTGTAGCTAACAACCTCGGGGGGTGAAAGGTTTCATTTCTGAGGCCTGGGAAGCCCGGCCTACGTGGATGTGGTCTGCAGGTCACTTTTTGGGCCTGTAAGCATGGCAGAGTAGAGAAATGCAGAACTCTACTCCTTTCGAGGTGTGTGCTCTCACAACTTCCATCTTCTCAACAGAATTTGGGCAAATACCACCTTTCCTCTGGTTTAAAAGACACTGGGGCGCCTGGGTGGCGCAGTCGGTTAAGCGTCCGACTTCAGCCAGGTCACGATCTCGCAGTGCGTGAGTTCGAGCCCCGCGTCAGGCTCTGGGCTGATGGCTCGGAGCCTGGAGCCTGTTTCCGATTCTGTGTCTCCCTCTCTCTCTGCCCCTCCCCCGTTCATGCTCTGTCTCTCTCTGTCCCAAAAATAAATTAAAAAAAAAAAAAAAAAAAAAAAACAAAAAAACGTTGAAAAATAAAAGACACTGGGGCGCCTGGGTGGCTCAGTCGGTTAAGTGTCCCACTGGGTTTCATCTCAGGTCGTGATCTTGTGGCTTTGTGGGTTTGAACCCCACATTGGGCTGTGTCATTGGCAGTGCAGAGACTACTTGGGATTCTCTCTCTCACCCTCCTTCTCTGCCCCTCCCCTACGTGCACTGACTCTCTCTCAAAATAAATAAAACTAAAAAAAATACTGATACATAAAAGTATTAGTTCCCTCCTTATGTGCCCTATGTACACATTTTAGAATAGCACTGGGTAAAGTTGCCTCCTTTCATGGATGGTATTTTTTTTTCTCCTCTTGGAACAATTAGCCGCATGAACCGTAACATCCCTTGATAATACTATAAAGATGTGTGAGCGCTAAGCAGGAGTCCTTTTTTTGGATAACCTACAACTATATGTGAAAAAACCTACAACTGATGCCATTTTTGATTGCTGATGTCATGGACATTGGCAAGAATATTGAAGCTGTACATCAAAAAGATATTTTAGAGATAAGTCAGCATAAGAATAAAACAGGGCTCTTGGGCTCTCATGAAATTGAGAGATCTCTTCTGTATCAAAGTATATTTATGAGATAATATTTCAACAGAAATGGAGAAAAAATGGAAATCCATCGCCATTATATTACTATTTGGTTGAAATGCCAATCTTATAATGAAATCTAAAATTCCAGCTCTCATATCTTAAAGTGGATTCCTGCTTGCTTTAATCTTGGTTATCATTATATCGCTAAAGCAATCATTGAAATTAGCTTTGGCATTTACGAAAAGGCGAGACAGGCCTACCTCTCCTCCCCCCTGCCTCTGATAACTCCCCCCTTCTCTAGCTCTGTGGCTGCCCTGACAACAGAAGTTCACAAACACCCAAATGCAACCAGAAATGGGAAGATGGCTGTAATCTGGGATTTGGTCATGAAGCTCTTTCTTAATAGAGCACGTTGCATCACGGAATGTCGTATTGACATTGTGAGCCAGCTCGGCTCACACAAAATACACCTTCTTCTGAGACTGCTTCTTAGTTACCAGTGCTTCTGATTTTGAAGCTGGGTATGAAAATGTGAGCCTGTCCAAGGCCCAACTTCCCAGGGTCTGTGAGACCAAAGAGGTAAAACAAAGGTGTTGAACTAAATCATCTACAGGCCGCTTCAAGCTCCAAGATTTTATGGCTGCTATAGTCTTTAAATTGCTCCTTTGACTATAGGTAAGCAGGTTGCACTAGCATGAATTCTGATTGGCCAACAACTTTCATTCTTATTATTTCCATTTAGGTTCCCACACTTGTTTTTTAGCTGAATAAATCTAAGGTGGGTAAGTTATAATAATCTGCAAGCCACATATCAGCTTCAATGACCTCAGATAGAAGATAAACTATGAAAAGGATGGAAACCATTTAAATGAGTCCTGGTTAGATAGCATGGCCTGAGCTTAGCTCTGAGACTCAGGACTGATCTTTGTTAAGAAGGGTTACAAAAGAGGAAATGCCATCAAAAAGCCTCTCACAGCAGAAGAATCTCAAGTTTGAAGGAGAAGTGACAGGGGCATAAAATACTGTCCTCACGGGGCACCTGGGCTGTTCAGTCAGTTTATGTGTTCAACTCTTGATTTCGGCTCAGGGCATGATCTCCCGATTTGTGGGATCGAGCGCTGTGTTGGTCTCTGAGAGACAGCACAGAGCCAGCTTGGGATTCTCTTTTGTCCTCTCTCTTTCGTCCCCCAACCTAGTGCTCTGTCTCAAAATAAATAAATAAACTTAAAAAAAAAAATACTTTCAGGGCACCTGGCTGGCTCAGTGAGATCAACGAGATCAACTTAAATTATGATCTCACGGTTCGGGAGTTCAAGTTCCGCATGAAGCTCGCCACCCTCTGTTTGCGCCCTCTCTCTCAAAAAATAAACATTAGAAAAAAAAACAAAACAAAAACTTTCCTCACTGTGGGATTTAAATCATCCCTGGTACACCCGCCAGCATAGATCTCAGCTGCTGAGAAGGTTAACCTTCCAGACTCGACTTCAGATTACTGAAATCCATTATTATTCTTAATCTTCATTTCTGTCTAGGAAATGATCTCGGAAATTGTCCTCATTTACACGCTTCTTGTCTTATTGACTAAAAAGCCAAAGGAAAGTTACATACAAAAAAAAAAAAAGTCTGAAGATAACTTTCAGACCACGCACTTCACGTATTTGAAGCAGACAATTCAATGTTTCTAATACATTCAGAGTTGTGTGGTCATCACCATGACCTACTCTTACAACAATTTTCTGTCTCCAGAAAGAAACCCCATACACATTAGCAGCAACTCCTTATCTGAATCTTTCCATCGCCAGTGCCAGGTAACCAATCATCTACTTGCTGTCTGTAGATTTACATGTTTTAAACATTTCACATAACTGAAATCGTGGGTCTGTCGTGACTGGCTTCTTTCGTGCAACAGTGCTTTCAAGGTTTATTAAGGTTACAGCATGCACTGGCACTTCACTTCTTATTATTGTAGTATTTCATTGTATGGAGATACCACATTTTATTTACCCACTCACCATTGGTGAACACCTGAGTTGTTTCCCTATTTTGCTACTATGAACGATGACGCCATAAACATGTCAATGGAAGCTTTGTACAGGCATATTTCATTTTTCTTGGGTACATATCCAAGAGTGGAATTCCTAATTCTTAATTACTACTTCATTTTTAAGTTATACGTCTAGATGTAATTTCGCAGTGACTTACCACGATAAAATGGATTCCACGGCTATTATTTTTTTGTTCTCTCAGTCTTTCGTTATTCTCTATGCTTATATGCTAATTCTATATTTCATTTGAGAACTGTAACACATTAAAAAGCACCTTTAATCAGAAGGCATATTAAAAACAGATTGTAAGACAGTACCCTATTGACGGACACATAGGTTGCTATTTCAAAGAATGCTGCAATAAACGTAGGGGTGCACGTATCTTTTTGAATTAGTTTTTTCATTTTCCCTGGGTAAATATTCAATAGTGGAATTACTGCATCATATGCTATTTCTATTTTTCAAAATATTTTTGAAGAACCCCATACTGTTTTCTACAGTGGCTATACCAATTTACATTCCCATCAACAGCGAACAGGGCCCCTTTTTCTCCACATCCTCACCAACACTGGTTTCTTATCTTTAACTAACAAGCATGAGATGATATCTCGTAGAAGTTTTGACTTTTATTTCCCTGATGGGGAATGATGTTGAGCATCTTTTCATGTGTCTGTTGGCCATCTGGAGGTCTTCTTTGGAAAAATGTTTATTCAGGTTCTCTGCCCATTTTTTAATCAGATAGTTTGCCCCCCCCCTTTTTTTAATGTTTATTTTTGAGAGAGAGAGAGAGAGAGAGAGAGACAGTGAGCGAGCACTCACGTGTGAGCAGGGGGAGGGGCAGAGAGAGGGAGACACAGAATGTGAAGCAGGATCCAGGCTCTCAGCTGTCAGCACAGAGCCCGATGCCAGGCTCAAACTCAGGAAACGGGAGATCATGACCTGAGGCAAATTTGGATGCTTAACCGACTGGGCCACCCAGGTGCCCTACAGTGTTTGGTTTTTTGGTGTTGTGTGCGATCTTTATATATTTTGGATATTAACCCCTTATCAGATGCATCATTTGCAAATATCTTCTCCTATTCATTAGGTGGTCTTTTTGTTTTGTTGATGGTTTCCTTTGCTGTGAAAAAGCTTTCTACTTTGAGGTAGTCCCAATAAGTTTTTGCTTTTGTTTCCCTTGCCTTAGGGGACGTATCTAGAAAAAGGGTGCTATGGCTGATGACAGAGAGATTGTTCCTGTATTCTCTTCCACAATTTTGTGGTTTCAGGCCTCACTTTTAGGTTTTTAATCCATTTTGAGTTTATTTTTATGTGTGTTATAAAAAAGCCCGGTTTCATTCCTCTACATACTGTCCAGTTTTCCCAACACTATTTATTGAAAAGACAGTCTTTCTCTATTATACATTCTTGGCTTTGTCATAGATCAAGCGATTATGTGAGGGTCTTTTCCTGTATATCCTGTGTCTCTATCCTGTTCCATTGACCTATGTGTCTATTTTGTGCCAGTACCACACTGTTTTGATTACTACAGCTTGGCTTGTACCTTGAAACCTGGAATTGTGACGCATCCAGCTTTGTTCTTCTTTCTCAGAATTGCTTTCGCTATTTGGGATCTTTGTGGTTCTATACAAATTTTACTGTTATTTGCTCCAGTTTTGCAAAAACATGCTGTTGGTATTTTGATAGGGGTTGCATTGGATACGTAGATTGCTTTTACATTTCTCCTTCTGTGACTTTTTTTTTGGAGTATATGGAAACTCTACCCATTTCTGGGTATTCCATTTGCATCCTGCCACTTTAATGAATTTATTACCTCTAATAGGTTTTTGGTAGAATCCTCAGGATTTCCTATGTGTAGTATCACGTTGTCTAAAAATAGTGACAGGTTTTTTTTTTTGCCAATATAGATGAATGAATAAGGAAAATATGGTACATACACATACAATTAAATATTAGACAGGCATAGAAAAGGATGTGATTGTGCCATCTGAGACAACATGGGTAGACCCAAAGGTTATTATCCTAAGTGAAATAAGACCGAGAAAGACAAATACCATTTGATTCTACTCATTAATGAAATCTAAAAAAAAAAAAAAAATGTACAAAAAGCAGAATCAGAACTCTAAATACAAAGAACAAACTGATGGTTGCCAACAGGAGTGGAGGTTGGGCAAAATGAATGAAGGGGAGAGGGAAATACAGTAGGCCTTCATTATGGAATGAGTAAGTCACGGAAATAAAAAGCACAACATGAGGATTGCAGTCAATGTTGTTCTAATAGTGATATAATGGGATAGAGAGAGCTATGCTTCTGGTGAACATAGTATAAACTTGTCACATCGCTGAATTGTACACCTGACACTAATATAACATTGGGTGTGGACTATGCATGAATGTCTGAATGAATGATTGATCCACTCACTTCTCCAATTCCATACCCAGAGACAAGTATCTTTAAAACTAAAGGATGTTATTTTAACAAAATAAGATTATGCTATGTATATAATTTGCATTTCTCACCATCAACATATTTCCATGTCATCTGACATAGATTTATGGCATTTTATTATTCTTTTTAAAGTTTATTTATTTACATCGAGAGAGAGAACAAGCGAGCAAGCTGGGGAGAGGCAGAGGGAGAGAGACAGAGAGAAAGAGACAGAGAGAGAGAGAGAGACAGAGACAGAGAATCGCAAGCAGGTTCCACACTGGCAGGAGACAGCTTGATTCAGGGCTCGAACTGTGAGATCATGACCCAAGGAAAAATCTAGAGTCAGACACTTAACCAACTGAACCATGCAGGTGTCCCAATTTACTGCATTTTAATAAAAGCTACAGATTATTTCATTATATTGAGGCACCATGATGTATTTAACCACTGTTTTTTTCTATTACAAACAAACCACAAGGAACATCTTGAACATATACCTTATGAACGTCAGAAATCTCTAAGAGTAATTTTCTAAGAAATTAGGCAGTTGGGTCGTAGGAGGCCTATGACTGGAATTTGAATGGATAGAAGCCAATTTCACTCCAAGAAAAGTTATTTCACTTTATACTTCCACCTACAATGAAAGACAGTGGAAGAGAACCCTATGGTCTTCCCAATTATTAAGGTTACCAAGCATACATTTGGCCAGTCTAAAACACAAAATAATTTTTATATGTATTTAAGTGTTAATACACTTACATACTTTTTTAATTTTGTTGAGTGGCCATTGGTATTTCTTTTAGGAATATCCAATTCATATCATTTGTCTATTTTCCCACTGAATTGCCGATCCTATTGTTAGGATATGTCTACACGTATATGTTCCCTATTTGTTGACAAAAATGCTTTAGCTTTGTCATTTGCCATGATGGTATTTTATACTTTTATGCTGTCTGATTTTCTCTTCACTACTTCTGGACTCTGCCATTGTTTCTCCAAGTGGAGATGTCACTTCTCTCCTACAATGAATTCCTGTATTTAGATTTCATCCTGGACTCTATTCTGCTCACTTATCTCCTTTATTTCTAAGCTCGTGCCAAAATTTTTTCGTTACTTAAGCTTCATTATAATATGTACGGAGATTATCAAGTTGGAGAAGTTCTTCATTTTCTAAAATGTTTGACACTGTCACATACTTATTCTCCCAAAGGCACATTTTATCAGCTTGAGTCATTTAACTTTTTCCTCAACATTGTAAGCCATAATCATTAGTAATAGTATTTAATTAGTACAAAATGCCTTGTTCTCTGGAATGTAATATGAAAGATCAATATATTGGTGTTAAGTGGCAACATTATCAGAATTATTCCAGTTAATGTTTAAATTTAGTCGGAAGAAGCCAGCTCCCAACTAAGAAAAACCAACAACAAAATAAACTAGAAGAAAACTGTATTCAAATCTTAAGGTTTTCAATTAGAATGTGTAACTACACCAAGTAGAGAAGAAAACAAAGTTATTAAGGTCATTAGGAAATGCATTTAATAACTCCACCAAATAGAGAAGAAGAAAAGGTAGTAAGTCATTAAAAATTCATTAAATTCCAAATGAATTAAAAAAGGCAATGAAGTTACTTGGAACTGCGATAGGAATTCTGTTGTAAAATAACCAATCCAATTTATCCAATAGGTTCACTTGAAGATTCAGTTTAAATATGATTATGAGAAATTTATAGCTAAATAACATTACATCAATTCTTTATTTTTTCCCCAGTATACTTTCATACGTTTCTTTTTAATCTTCCTTATACATTCTTATCTTCCCTAAAAAAACATAATGAATAATAGAGGAAATGATGGGTCAATGAAATTTCAGATTCACTGTAATTAGATTTCCCTTCTCAAAAATCTTCCACCTTCTTAAATCACTACGAATTAAACGACAGTGTTTCCTCTATTGCAAAATTCCATGCCCAGGATGTTCATCTTTTCTTGAGAAACCGCAGGACCATTCGAGCACAGTCATGCCTACCCATCTTTGCCAAACATGTGAAAACGTGAATTATCAGAGGATCTACATAACGACAAGTCTTTGACTTGAGGTAACAGAAAATTTGGTCAGTTCTTCCTTGCCCTAATGTTTCGTCTATGCCCGTACTACAAAAATTCTGCTTTTCTCCCCACGGCAAATAATCGAAACTCAAATCTAGTCCTCTTCTATCTATGCCCATGTTTATTGTTTAAATGTGTTTATTTCTTCTTTCTTTACTTACCAGGTGTGGCTTCTTGGGCGAATCACAGTATCTCTGCAGTCCTCAATTTTATCTGTAAAATAAGAAGCTGGGTTAGACAAGCTTTCAAATTCCATTGAATTCCAACATCCTGTCACTGTGCTTAATATGAAAATTAAATTTTCTTAGTATCCTTTAACTTTGATAATGACCAGTCACAAGCACAGGTGTCTGCTGGAGAGCCTACAATTTAAAATTTTTCATTTACTGTTTCTATTAGAATATAGTCTTCGTAGATAATGCACACTTCTCAGATTGTTCCACTATAATCTCTTTAAAGAGAAAAGTTACAGGTAATCTAAGATACCATCATATTTTCTGAAAAACAACTTTTTAAAAAGGTTTCTTTTTGAGAGCGCAAGCGAGTGAGCAAGCACGAGTAGAGAGAGGAGGACAGAGAGACGGAGACCCAGAATCTGAAGCAGCCTCCAGGCTCTGAGCTGTCAGCACAGAGCCCGACTCGGGGCCGATGAGATCCTGACCAGAGCCGAAATCGAGGGTTGGATGCTGAGCCACGCAGGCACCCTGATACCATCATTATGTTTTCATAATTCCATCTAAAAGTACATTTTGGGGCGCCTGGGGGGCTCAGTCGGTTAAGCATCCAACTCTCGATTTCGGCTCATGATCTCACTATTTCTGAGCTTGAGCCCTGGGGCGGGCTCCAGGCTCTGTGCTACCATCACAGAGCTTGCTTGGGATTCTTTCTTCCTTTCTCTCTTCCTTCCTTTCTCCCTTCCTTCCTTCCTTCCTCCCTTCCCTCCTTCCTTTCTCTCTTCCTTCCTTCCTCTTTCTCCTTCCCACTCTCCCTCTCTGAGAGATTTATGAATAAACATTAAAAAAAAATAAACATCTGGGGTGCCTGGGTGGCTCAGTCAGTTACACTCCAGACTCTTGGTTTCGGCTTAGGTTGTGACCTCACAATTCCTGAGTTTGAGTCCCAGGTCAGGCTCCATGCTGATGGTATGGAGCCTGCTTGGGATTCTCTTTCTCCCCCACGCCAACCCCCCTCCCCCCGCCCTCTCTCTCTGTCAAAATAAACAAACTTAAAAAAAATAATAAATTTCTCATCAGATTACAGCAAATTAGGATTCTTGGGGATAAAGATTCTCTACCCTGATTTCAAGTCCGTTCTCTTTAAATAGGACTTTTTTGTTCCCATTATATTTCTGTTCTTATTTGTAATATTGTTGACTTGCTTTTGTCAACAGGATCACCTTGAACTTTGTCCTCAGAATGCTCCAATCCCAGAAGTTCCCATTTCCTCTAAATTAGATTTCGTTTCTAGTTTTATTTTAAAACAACATTACAAATCCTAAATCATTAAACATATATTTAAATTTCACATAAAAGTAATCATTTTTATAGTCCTGTTATGACTGTTAAAATGACAAAAATTAAACATCAACACAGGAACGTACTTAAAGTGACATATGGAGAGGGGGGACATGTTTCCTCGCTAGTCAAAGTGTGTACATCAGTATCTTCTTTTGAGGGGATGTTGTTAACCATGTATCCAAAGTCTTAAGAGTTTAACCAACACATTTCACTTTTATGAGTGTGCCCTGAGGAAATAA